AAAATAAATAAGTAACCGGGATGTAATGTATAGCATAAGGAATATAGTCAAAATATTGTAACAACTTGGTATGGTGATAGCTGGTACCTAGAATTATCATGTATATAAATGTTCAATCACTGTGTTGTACACCTGAAACTAATGTAATACTGTGTGTCAACTACCCTTCAATAAAAAATAATTATCTAAAAAATAAAAATAAAAATAAAAGCCATAGCATGGTCTCAATAACCAGAGTTTGCAGCAAGTAGCTGCAGGAAGCACACCGGTTCGCAGAAAGCTGAAGCTGCAACAGGCTTCCAAGGGGCCCGGCAGCTGTGCAACCCATCTGCCCTGCTCAGGAAGGCGGAGGGCTGAACACATGTAACATGTGTGCACTTCTCACACACCAGCCCACAGACTTAGGAAGCCATTTTGGAAGATAAATGGCGGAAGTCAGTGTGGGCTTTGAGGCCCTGGGGTATTTTTATTTTTCAGAATGATGAGATTTGTTTTTTAATGTTTTCCTGGCTGGAAATCAGAGTGGAGGGGTTCTGCTTTCTAACAGCAGAGGTCACTAACATCAAAGAAGGAAATGAAGCAATCTGGGCCGCACTTGCTGTCACTATCATTGAGTTTCACAATCAACAGGCAACAGACTGACACACTACACACACACACACACACACACACACACACACATTCTACCACAGAATATGGGGGGATGAACGAGACTAGAATATAAAGTGAAAATTTCCACTATACATGTTTACAACTATTGACATTTTTTTCTTACCTCACCAACCATCAACTTGAATATATCTTCAGAAAGACCATATAGTCGCAAAGAAAAGAATGAGGAAACTAAAATATTTTATCCCTGCAGACTTTTGGCAAATTATTGAGTGCCTAGCACTGTTTTAAATATTTGGGGTACAAAAGTATAAATAAATATATTATGTCTGCACTTGCCCTGCCATTAATTCTGTGACAGAGGAAGTGAAGTATTAAATAGCAAACATCAGAGGCTATGACAGAGAAAATTTAGAAAAGCAGAGGAAAATTTTCCTGTTTTGAGCAGCTGATCTGCATTTCATTTTACTTTGATCCCTGCAAATTACATAGCTGGCCACTGCTTATGAGAAATAGATTATCACACGTAATTTTTGTGCATACATTGGAAAGAAAACACAAGATGAATAAATTGGTTCGGTCAGAGTGGAAAGCCTAGCAAATTCTCAAAAATGTTAGTTTTCTTCGTATCGATCAGTGACTTGTTACAACAACACAAGTTCTCAAACTTATAATGGAAACGTCTATGTCCAGACATCTCTGTATCTCGGATGCTATTCTTCCAATAATTTCTATTTTCTACGTGCTTTAGAGCAAGATAAAGGCAGGTCCCTGACACAGCAATTAAAGTCACAGGGGTGCCAGGCTCCAGGCATCTGGCAGAGGCTGGGAAGGCCTGGGGAAGAGGCCGTACCCCAGAAGTACATGGGTGGCTTCATACTGAGCTTTGAGCAACCCCGGCCTCTGGGAGCCTAAGACACAAAGCCGGCCTCCGCACACAAGGCACAGAGGGGTCTGCAGAGCCAGCGGGAGGGTGGGGTGAGTTCTGATGTATGCGGCCACTGCAGCCCTCAACAGGATGCATGGTGCTGTGTCCAGTGACAAGTGTAAGGCTGGAGGCACTGGAGGGAGGGGTGAGCACAATGGACACTGACGACGTGCCAAAGTCCCTGGCTGCTGCCCCCTCCCAACCTGAAAAATGTGCCGTAGGCTAGCCAATCCTCGCACTGCTGTAAATCTATGCTCTGCCTCCCCCTACCTTCTTTAAAAACTCAGTGCCTCCCCCCCACAGAATTCTATTGTTGTTAACATGTATTTGCTCAATAAACACGAAGGGTGCCCTCTCAGCATCACTCTCACACGGGTTCAGCCTCGAGTCCCCTGCCTGGTCCTTTCGGGTCTTTGACACCTCATCACATCTCCCATCCCCCTACACCCCCACCCCACCCCCGGCTGCAGGCCACAGGCAGTGGGGAGCCAACACCTCAGGACTCATACAGAAATGAACATGGCAGAACACAGCCAAGTAGAACTGTGTGAGAGTTTGAAGAGCAAGACAGGAAATAGAAAAAGTAAAAGAAATCGGTCTGTTTCTATAGGCACAAGCAGCATCTCAGGAAAAGTAAGAGCAGGTGAGAGAAAATAATAATGCTTCAATAAGAAGCCAGATGGAACTCAGAACTAAAGACCTGGAATTTGAGCTCTTCAAAGCAAAAACTTCTCAATATTCTAGTAAAACAGAATTGGAAAAATACAAGCAACTCTACCTGGAAGAATTAAAAGTTAGAAATTCATTGGAAAATAAACTAAACATTCTCCACAGGACTACTGAGAGGCTAACAGAGATGAGTGCCACACTTCTTGAGGATAACGGGCAGAAGAGGACTTCACGCAGCACTCTTACTATGAGGCCAGCGCTGGAAACAGCTCGCGCTGGAAATCTCACTCCAAGGGAAAACTCAGTGGTTCCTACCACACACCCGTGGACTTCAGATGACACGGAGACGTTCTTTGCCAGGATGCAGCAGGAATTGGAAGAGAATATAACTAGAGAACTAGAAGCTGCTGCTGTTAAATTTGAATCTGAATCCTGTAGAGTTCCTCCACTAGGATCTACTGATGCGTCAAATCCAACTCAATATCTACTTTTGAAAACAGCACAAGAATGTGCACAGATTTTGAGGGAAAATTACATGATCTGAAAGATAGAGGTAAAAATGAATATACTGGTCTGTTTATATACACTGGTCTGTTTATATAATCCTTTCCCATTAAACATAGGACATGTGAAAACCTTTACTAAGGGAAATTATTTTTGAATAAAAAAAACAGGGCACTCCTTCACACTGAAGATTTCTTAAATCCTACATCAAGCAAGAAAAGAGAAATCTGTTTTTTTCCCCTACTGTGATGATAAGAGTATCCATGGCACATTTTAAATTGTCATTTTAAAAACCATGGCACATTTTAAATTGTCATTTTTAAAAAGTGCTACATTGTTATTGTTGAGGGTTTGGCTGTACAAGTACATAATGGGAAAATAAATATTCACAATAACTCAGAAAAAAAAAAAAAAACTCACTGCCTGCCCTGCTGCGCGCGACTTCTCCAGCCTGTGTCTGTGCAGACTGGTGAACCTCGCCCGGGACTGCGCTCAAATAAACTGCCTGCTCTTTTGTTGCCTCTTGTCACCTGCTTATTTCAGTTAGAATTCATCTTACGACAAGCACGTGCAACCATCCACAGTGCTAGTAATTCCACTGAGGGCAGCCTTGGGGCCACACTCTTTGACCTTTGGCTCGCACCCCCTGGCAGTGGGGGCTTTGTGACACCTCCCTGTGTGAGTTTGGCCTGAGAGGAGGCAAAAGCAAAGCAGACACTCCTGGTTTTATTACGGCTTACTTTCAGATCATTTGGTGCACAACAGATTTTCATCATGAGCAACGTCCCTCGAAAGTTTCATGCCCCACCCCGCCGCGATCCTCAGCCCTACCACCTTCACTGCCCTCCAGTCCTTCCCACACGGGATGCTGCCCCTCATGCCAAGAAGCACCCCGTTTCTCCTGCATCTGTCGACCACCCTGGCCACAGGCTGTTCCACTGGGATTGTGTGCCATTCCCAGCCGGCTTTTCCACCGAGCCCCAGAGGCAGAATGTAGGCCAGGTGCTCCCCTCCGGCAGCCTCCCCTTGATGAACCGGAGGGACAAGCCCGAGAAGCTGACAGGCTCAGCACGTACGTCCACGATGTCAGCTGCCCTCATCTCCAAAACATCCTCGCTTAGCTATTGCCCAAAACCGGGGTAACATGGAGAACAGCACTGACTGCTAGACAAACAAGAACTCAGAGGATAAAACGGAGGTCCAGGCTGATGGCAGTGCCACTGGGCCTGCCCCTTCCTTCTCCCCACCTGCCCGGAGAGTGCAGGCGCTCCCTGTCCGTGACCACTCACACCTCAGAGGTCCCTGATACCACCACCAACCTGGCTGACCTGTGTGCCAGGCCCCTGATCCCGCTTGTCCTTCCACCTTCCCCAATTCCAATACTGATCAGGGAACAAGAGACATGGCCCCCAATTCTCCTCCTCCCCTCCTCCAGTTCTGGCTGATGCTCCTCCTGCTCTTAGTCCCAGTCCCATAGTGGGAACTCCACCAAGAGAGAAGGAGGGCCCTTTTCATTCAGTCACTGCTACAGCACCGCCTACTTCTGACATCCCCACACCGCCCAGCACCTCCACCACCTTCCTGCAGCAGCCTTCCTGCCCAAGGTCATCCCCATCACCCATGTGTGTAGGTTCTCCCCCTCCTTGTTTCTCACCTGCCCCTGTCCCAGTAGCTTCCCTCAGTAACTCGGTTCTCAGTGTCCAGGCAGCCACTTCCACTGTAGGCGCTCCCACCACGGCCGCCCAGGCACCTGCAGGCTTGCCCTCCACACCTACTTCACATCCTGATGTGGACATGGGCACGATGCCCCCTTCTCACGCTGACATCTGCCCTTCTCCCCCTGACTCCCCGGGGAGATAGCTCCCAAGTTCCAAACTCGGCTGTCATGCGAACCACAAGCACCCTGCAGAGGAACCTGTTCTCTGCCAACCCCACTGTATGGATCCCCAGCCACAGACACATTTTTAACAACCCCAGAGGCCCCCAGCAGTCCCCTCACCCCAGAGTTGGCCTGAAGATCGGGCAGCCACAGAATGCCGCTCTCCCCAGGGCTCCTGTCCTCCCTGGGTTGTCCCTCAATGGTATATTCCATCTACAAGAACGCAGCAGGCAGCACCACTGTGAGCTTCAACCCGACTCTCTGTGACGATGTTATGGACATGACACCCCCTTCCCAGGGTGTCATCTTCCCTTCTCCGCAAGACTCCATGTGGAGATCGCTCCCATGTTCCAAAGTCAGCTGCAATGGGGACCACAGGCACCCTACAAAGGGACCCGTCTCTGCCAACCCCACTGTATGGATCCCCAGAGCCACAGACATTTTTAAGAACCCCAGCGGCCCCCAGCAGTCCCCTCAGCCCACAGTTGGCCGGAACATCAGGCCACCACAGAATGCCGCTCTCCCCAGAGCTCCTGTCCTCTCTGGGTTTCCCCTCCTGGCATCTTCAGTCCACCAGAACGCAGCAGGCAGCACTGCAAACTTTAATCCGTCTCTTCGCAATGATGCTCTGGCCACGATTCCCCCTTCCCAGTCTGTCATCTTCTGTTCTCCCCCAGACTCCACGCAGACATTGCTCTCAAGTTCCAAACTCGGCTGCGACGTGGACCACAGGCACCCTGTAAAAGGACAGTCTCTGCCAATCCCATTGTACATATCCACGGCGGATCAAGTTCTCACTCTTACCTGTCATAGTGCTATTTGCTCTCTGACCATCTGCAATTGCTCAAGCAAAGGCTTGGGTTTGTAAGTTTCAAATCAACAGGTTTCTTTTACGTTTGATTACTCACACGACCTGGTTTAGTTTTAAACCTCAAGCCTATGATACATGTTTGTATACTCATAGAGCTTTTGGTTATACCAACCTACAATGTCTTTTATCTGATCATGCTCCCACCACGGCCGCCCAGGCACCTGCAGGCTTGCCCTCCACACCTACTTCACATCCTGATGTGGACATGGGCACGATGCCCCCTTCTCACGCTGACATCTGCCCTTCTCCCCCTGACTCCCCGGGGAGATAGCTCCCAAGTTCCAAACTCGGCTGTCATGCGAACCACAAGCACCCTGCAGAGGAACCTGTTCTCTGCCAACCCCACTGTATGGATCCCCAGCCACAGACACATTTTTAACAACCCCAGAGGCCCCCAGCAGTCCCCTCACCCAAGAGTTGGCCTGAAGATCGGGCAGCCACAGAATGCCGCTCTCCCCAGGGCTCCTGTCCTCCCTGGGTTGTCCCTCAATGGTATATTCCATCTACAAGAACGCAGCAGGCAGCACCACTGTGAGCTTCAACCCGACTCTCTGTGACGATGTTATGGACATGACACCCCCTTCCCAGGGTGTCATCTTCCCTTCTCCGCAAGACTCCATGTGGAGATCGCTCCCATGTTCCAAAGTCAGCTGCAATGGGGACCACAGGCACCCTACAAAGGGACCCGTCTCTGCCAACCCCACTGTATGGATCCCCAGAGCCACAGACATTTTTAAGAACCCCAGCGGCCCCCAGCAGTCCCCTCAGCCCACAGTTGGCCGGAACATCAGGCCACCACAGAATGCCGCTCTCCCCAGAGCTCCTGTCCTCTCTGGGTTTCCCCTCCTGGCATCTTCAGTCCACCAGAACGCAGCAGGCAGCACTGCAAACTTTAATCCGTCTCTTCGCAATGATGCTCTGGCCACGATTCCCCCTTCCCAGTCTGTCATCTTCTGTTCTCCCCCAGACTCCACGCAGACATTGCTCTCAAGTTCCAAACTCGGCTGCGACGTGGACCACAGGCACCCTGTAAAAGGACAGTCTCTGCCAATCCCATTGTACATATCCACGGCGGATCAAGTTCTCACTCTTACCTGTCATAGTGCTATTTGCTCTCTGACCATCTGCAATTGCTCAAGCAAAGGCTTGGGTTTGTAAGTTTCAAATCAACAGGTTTCTTTTACGTTTGATTACTCACACGACCTGGTTTAGTTTTAAACCTCAAGCCTATGATACATGTTTGTATACTCACAGAGCTTTTGGTTATACCAACCTACAATGTCTTTTATCTGATCACTCAAAATTTTAAAGACACCTAACTCCTTAAGTCAGGAATAAAAAAAGAAAATATATGAATAACTACCAAAGGGATATGTGAAAAAGTAATTATGTTCACTTTTGACCTGAATAAATAATTTATTGCAACTCTAATTTTAGACAAAGGAATATAGAAAAGTTTCCCCCTTTCTTCTGGCTTCCTGACATTTGGCTTTCCTCTATTGTTCTCAGAAGCTGCCAGTATCCTGAGTTAAACACAGATTATTTACTGCAACAGAAACTTACCCTGTGATGTGTTACTATGTGCTGTTCCCATGTAGCTGTTTCCTCCACTGCTGTATTCTGATAAAGGAAAAGAAAAACAAATAATTTATTTTTTAAGAAAATGTCTTTAATAAAGTGAGTGAGAACACCCAGCAAAAAATTTTGCACACTGTAATACCAAAACTCATTAATTAGGTACTCTGAAAGGAGCTTAATAATTATGGAAGTGTTTTTTGTTTGCTTTTGTTTTTGTTGTAAGAAACAGGAAACGACACACAGGAACTTTGTTTTTAACTTAATTTCAACAAATGCTATTCTATATTCATTTCATGTCAGCTGAAATCAGTATTCAAGCTAACTGGGCAACTTTACACTTAACATCAGAGAAAAAAAGAATAAAAACTGAAATAGGATTATCTTAAAATATATAATAACACATGTAACATTTAAAAGCATTCCTTACATTGAGCAAAGGAAGGAAAAGTCAAATACCTCTTAACTCAATTCTTAACACTCAAAAAAAAAAAAACCCCGAAACAGAAAAATGTAGTCTAGTTTAAACCACAGACCACATTCTTTCTACTCTCCTTCAGAGGCAAGAACATCAAAATCCTATCCATGATTGTTTATGTAGTCAGGCAGACTTTATGAGACGTTCTGAACTGAAGGATGAATATATGAATAAATACATAGATGTGTGATAATGCAAATATAATGGTAGAATCTTAGTTGTCAGGATTCAAGTAAAATTCTATCTTGCTATATTTGAAAATGATCATAATAAAATGTGTGTTTGGGGGAGGATTTCTTTTTTACAGCAAATCACTCAGAAATTGAATGCTAAATGTGATATATAATATTTTTTATACTAGTAAATTTATTAAGCGCTATTTTCATGAGCATAACATGAAGAAAAACTGTTCATTAATGACTGAGAGTTCTGATACTTTACAGAAACTGGGAAAGGTTGCCTTTGGAAGAATACCTAAGAAACAAGCAGCCTCTGGGTTGGAAAACTGGAAACTGGGGAGTGGGGTGAGAGAATCTTACTTTTCACTATGAGCCCTGTTGTACTGTTTTATCAAGCTCATCTATTACCTATTCAAAGAAATGATTTTAAAACTTGTCATTTTTCTTATTAAAAAAAATCAGAATACCTAGTTGTGTAACTTTAGACAAGTATCTTCTGATATATCTCTAGTCTCATTCGAAAGCATTTAGATTTGTGGGAGATCAAGAAAAAGTGTCACTCCTGTAAGCATGATTCCAGCACTATCATTCCCTAGTAACTTTGAAAGAGGCTGTTATACAGAAAATAAATTAGGTTAGAAATAACGTGATCACAGCCATTAACTGCCATTAACTAGGTAGCTGACTTAGTTTTCCTCACCTACAATTAAGGAACTGGATAGTCATCACAAGTAAAAAGTCCTTTCTAGCTCCAAAATTCTCTTAAGACTATAATTCCAGTTGTAGTCCAATTATAATTACAATTCCAAACAGGCTGTACATTCAATTAATAGTGAAACACTTAGAGGCATCAAGAGTGACTGCAATTTGTGACTACTGGATCCTGAGTTCTACATACCAGTATCAACCGATTAGAATCACAATTTGTGAAGAAGCAAAAGGCTGCATTTCAGAATCTGCCAAGAGTTTGTTCAGTTTCTTTGTTCTAAGTTCTAGTTAGCAAAGACACTACTCAGATCACCAACCCTGAAGGGCTTCCTGCCAAAATTTCAGATCTTAATTCTAGGCAGTTTCACTGTCCTTTAGAGCTGATTACAAATCAAATGGAGAAAAGACAGGAAGACACAAGAACTGACAGGATGAACCTGTAACTGGGATGAGACCAAAACCCAAATAGAACAAATAAAGCAAGTGTTCCCCAAATGAAGGAAATCCTAATTCCTTAAAATTATCTAGGTATACAGCCAGCTACAATTTATACTTTTTACCCTTAATTTAAAAACAATCTATTCATATTCACTAATTCACTCAACAAACATTTTAGCAGATATGCTAAGTGTTGTGGACACTAATAATAGGCAGGATGCCTTCTTCCTAAGAGACACAAGGAGAAGGTGTATACTACAACATAAATGGGGTGTAAGACGTGCCAGAAAGGATGGAGACAACTCTGCCTGCTGGGACTGAATCCCCAAGAAACCAATGTTTGAGTTCAACCTTGAAAGATGACCAGGAAGAAAAGTAGGGAACGATGTTTCCAGAGAAGAAATAGCACATCGGCAAGCATCATCTGGCTTTGATATGGCTGAGTTGTACAATTGTGAAATAGGGAAATGGTAAAGAGAGAAGCTGCAAAAGTACGACCACAACAGGCCTTGTAATGTAATGTGAAGAACTTTAAACTCAATGAGAAAACACTAGGCAGTCAAATGATAGTCAGAACTCATTCTGAAAGCTGTTATGTGAAAGATGGATTTGAGACGGTAAGACCAGTTAGAAAGTAAGGGGAGAGGAATTAAAGATGGTGGTTACATTCTCACTGGGCAGCTGAGTGAAAAAGCAGAAAAAAAAGATTATAAATTCAGTTTTAGACATCCCTAACTTTAAGGTGCCTGAGAAAATGCCGAAGCAGAGAAATAAGCAGTAGGCAGTTGGATATATCAGTTTAAAGATCAAGACTGAGATCTAGAGCAGATAAGGATCTACAAGTAATCAACAAAGTAGTATTGAACCCAAGAGAAAATATCCAATTACCAAAGGACTAAGATAACCCTGTGGACCACAAATATTTTAGGGGGAAAAAAGGAAGAACCAAAGGAACTTGAGAAGGGGCAGCCAGTGAGGACACAGGAAAACCAGGGGAGCTAATACCAAAAATCATTACAGTCCAGGGAATACACAAAACAAAATATAAAAATGGAAAATATTATAAACAATAAATTTCCATATATTTTAAAAACTGTTGGACCCTTAAATATAATTATATACCTGAAATAGTTTATTTAGTATAATTATCTTAATAAAGCATGCTTAACACTCTCTCTCGATGACTGCAGTCCCTCGTCAGGAACATAAAACAGTAAAGGGAGGACTAATACTCTGGTGCTCTCGCTGGGCTCCTTCCGTGAGCAGAGCTGCCAACAGTTGTTTCTGAATTCTTATGCTTTACAAAAAGTGTTTTTGTTTTTTGAACTTTTTTCCATCCAAAATAGAAAACCAGATCACCTGTGACTGAGGTTGAGCCAGAAACTTGAGAAGTAAAACTTTAATTTTTGTGAAAAAAACAGATGACCCCTGCCTCTCCTTGACCTTCAGTTAAGTATTTAATTTCAAGTTGTGATCACTGCTATGCAAATGAGATACAAAGAAAAAGATTAGTGTACATGTTAAAAGGTGGGGAAAGCATACATTTGGATTGATCTAAAGGACTGTCATATAAACTCTCAAAATAGAGAGGTCCAAGAGGGAGTAAGAAAAGACAAACCTAAAGCCAGATGGAGAGGTCTGGGACACACTCTGGGGTTTAACCAACCTCTCAAATACAACATTAAGAGCTCACTGAGCTTAAGAATTACAATAATGATCAAAGTAGGAGTGCAACAACTGTAGGATGACAGTCTCAACAGAAAGTAAAGTGAATTTAGCATCCAACATATACTAAGTATGTTAAATTTTCTAATACTTTATACTTTATAGTGTCCACCCCTTGGTTGACAAATTAGGAGACAAATGATGAGCTGGCTATGATTAGAAAACATTAAGAGTTGGAGGACTAAAATGGGTCGGGAATATTTTGGTTAATCAAAGCTGGAGGTCTGCTTAAAATGTTAACTTCATGGATAAACCGCTGTATTTGCCACTGTCCTATCAAAGTGAAAGAACATC